ATGTGTTATGGAGCTTTATTCATAGAAGGTGAACGGGCGTTGTCGAAACTGTCGGCCAAATGTGGCGATATCACATAAGGTTTGCAATCCATGCTGAGAGATTTAGGCCTTATCTTAGGTGTCTTAGGTATTAGGTCTTACGGACATTATGAAACAGCGAGTGAGCGCTTTTTCCTAAGATCTGAGAGTCTGAAACCGTGATTCGTTTTGACACTAATGTATCTCTGTAATCTTGTTGAAATAGAGGCGATGAGCGAAGCTTTAAACGCGATAGAGGACGAAGAAATTGGAATACAGGCATCCTTTGCGTCATAGTGAATTACTAAAACAATACGCAGTTACCGTTATCATTGTTATCAACTGTTATTCAACGGAAAACTTTCAGGACGTCTTCGACGTTGAAGTTCAATCAGTGATCAATCAGTTACTCTTCGGCTATCGTTTGAACGGATTAAGCGACAAACGTTTTTGTAACGTTTCATAAGAAATAGCTTCGCAATTTTTGATATTGTAGAAAATCTTAGAGAGTTTCGACAACTCAAAACTCTGATGTCTCGGCAAATGAAATTGCTGATTTTCAAGTATTGTCTTCGCATAAAGTGAAATCATCCCGAGCTTTTACACTGCCGTGTCGTTTGGTTGACTAATTGACAAGCTAAAAGAATGGAAATTACGACTGTTATCGCATTGTTAAGGCAGCTTGACCCAGCTACATAGGAACCGCGCTGTAGAGTTTACATAAAAGTCGGATGTTCGAATTAGTAAAACCTCATTTAAATGCAATCACGTTCTCCGATGTCAGATGAGATGAGCCAAATAAATAGAAGAACTGCTGGAATATGAAGACGAGAACACTTTTAATTCAATCGCTTTATAGCGGTGATGTGATGTCACAAATGTAATCAGTCATGTTGAGTGATGTGCAAAACTTTTGCGTCCGACATGAATGGCCGGACCGAGCAAATGTTTTGCACATCACTCAACATCACTAGGTATATTTCTAACATCATACCACCAATATAAAGAGGTTGAATAGAAAGAATTCTTGTCGATCACATATATATCCAATATCTGTCAACGCAAGTCGGTTCAGTGTCAATATTGACTACCAGGTTAACCGCTGATGGTTGGTTGCTGACGGACTGATGCCTTTTAGTTTAGAAAGAGTGGTGGTAAAGCAGGCATCGCTAGTGCAACGGGTTAGAGCACGTGCTCCTTTATAGGAAAAAATGTGAGTTCGAATCCCGCTTGACACAAAAGTTTTGCACGTCACTCAACATCTTTAGAAATACTTACTGGAACTTAGTTTGTCAGCTGAGTTTAAATATCTGAATACCTAAGTAGAAAGAATTATTCACCAATCATGTTGGTAATTTGATTCATTACAAACAAATGAAGAGAAGAAGAATGTCCATTTTTCTCCATCAGTTTCTAAACCATCTAAGTTAACTCAGTTAGTTTACTGCTTAAGAAGCGTAGTGGTAATCTCTTTTCACTCCTAAATATTTTCAAGACAATAAGAAGTTCTTGAGAATTCCTTTCCAACAAACCCTCCAAAACAGTCAGTTATTGCTTATATCCAACACTTTTGCTTCACATTGTTTGACTTCAATTTTATATTTATTTCAATTTGCAACGTCAGGGTACGATATAAAATATAATCAACCACAGGCGTGCTGAATTACGTGTGAAACATGTTTTCTGAGGCGACTTCGAACCTGCGATTACCCATTACTGGGGTTCGCTAAGTCTCTCACTGTACCGCTCGAGACGCTCGCTATGTCTTTCCTTAGCCATATTATAACCCCTTGACTTCCGGGGACCCAACTCCTTGTAGATTAAAGGACTCAACCTGTCTGTGTATCGAACATTCAATGGAGAAACTGTATCCTCCAGTGGAAAGGTGCACGATTTCTATCGCTCTCTGCGTCACTAAGGATTTATTGCTAGAGATTGATTCAGTTACTAACACTGCAAGACATACTATTATCTACTGGAATGATTGGAGATTGGATAACATTTAGTGATGATCACTCCACTTACGAAATTGTAAACGCATATTGTCATGTAAGCCAATCAATGGTTTGTTGGCTTGATTTGCTCAGTCAATAAGCTTTAATGCCAACATCAATTAACATCTTAATCCTTAGTGGCGTAGAGCGCCAGAAAATTGTTCTCCATTCCACTGGAGAATACCGCATCGCTATAGGGGGGTTAAGGTCGCGCACTAAGTGAGCCCTAAAACCACTGACTTCCAGGGAGTTGGTTCTTTGGAGGTCAAAGGGTTAATTTGTTCGGTGGCTATCAAAAATCATCCTTCAGAAAGAATGAGCTAGGAAACACCAATCATTGCAAATCACACTTAAACGTGCATTCCAGCTCCATTACGACAAAATACTAGGAGGCTATTCAATCAAGACTTTAGTATCTAGATGCCATGAAATCACAGGTAGATAGTAGAATTTTGCGCACTGATCACAACTTTCCCAGCTATTCAAAGACTCGACAAGTGTTTACTTTTGTTCAGTGTGCTCCCATTCAAATCTTTAAATATCACCTTCCTTTCGTAGCACTTGGACGGACTTTCCATTGTGTCGATGCTATCGATTATACTATCCGTTTTCAGAAAGCATGTTAACGTGTCTTGCCATTCGTCATCCAGCGAACTGCAGATCTCAAATGAGCAGCAGATTTTGAAAACGATTAGGAAACATGGAAAGCGGATTTTAGCCGCCACTTATAGGAAAGCGTGACACTGATCCTACATTTTCATTTGCTTTGAATTCACATAAAATGACTGCAGACTAGATGATTACATGGGATCATATACGATTCATCGCCTACAAGCAACATTAAAGACTCTAGAAGGGAAGTTAGGAGAACGGTATATGTCTTTTCTTCTCCAAATTTCCCTGCTTTTCTCCTTCTTCATCACTGACGCTTTGATTTCACAATATCACAAAAAGGCGGTAATTCATAATGTTCAATAGTTAAGAATTTTGTGGAGCTTGAGATTTTTGGTAAGAACAAGTCGCATCATCCCCTATGTTTATTGTCGAATTTATACAAGACGGCACCCTTCCTTTGCTCCCTTGCCATTGCATAACTGGCCAACTTGCGCATCTCTTTCTTCATTACCTGCAAAATATGGATCACGGATCAATGATATAACTTACTGATGAGATTTTCAATTTCTATCTGTGATTCGATGTGTCAATGAAAAATTGGCATAATTAATTTTTTGTCATGATTTCAAGAGATTGAGGACTGCTTATTGAGAACTTAGTTCTCGATTATCTTAGACGACATCGATCGGCATCGTAAATTAGGGAATTTTTTCTGGCTGCTCAGTAAACTTCGAAATAGATTAGACGGCGAGAGTTTAAGCTAAGTTGATGTTGATGTTATTGAAAACAGTCACTGAGGGAATAGAGGTTGAATCTTAAACAGAAAACTATTTAAAATGAGAAAGAGTTCACTTCCCTTTGATTCGACACTGCCAACTGGTGATTTAAAAATGAAAATAGCTAATTGTGCATTTGCAGACATTTGCTACAACTTCATGCCTGAACGGAAATTTTAGACAAGAAAAAACATACCTCTGGAAAATCCATGGCAAAACGATATATTTAGAGCAGTTTGTTTACGTTACAAAACTAAGTAACATTTGCGTTCACTTCTATTTCTACATAAGCTACTATGATGTTAGAAGCCACATACTACAGAGAACAGCCGTAATCTCATTTTTCAATGAAAACGTCACTAATAGAAAAAAACGGAGTCGGAAAAACTCTAGGTGTGAAAGCAGCTCAAAAGCTTTGAACTAAAATTTCATTTTTTCATGAAGAATCGTGAATAAGTTCATGGCTCCATCAGTGCATATTTGCTCCAAACATATGCAAACAGGAGCACTTCATTACAAGCTGCTTGGCTTCAACTAATCAATGGCTTTGCAGTGAAACAGTATTAATTCAGTATAGCATAATAAGTATAGGCGCTTCTAACTGGTTTTTTGATAATCGATCCATTATGCAGCTTCCAGATAGAAAAGCAGTTCAAGAAAGGCCTAACGATCCTCAAAACAAACTTCGAAATGCTTACAGCATGTGTGTTTCAAATAGATTTTTCGGATGTTCCCAAAACACTTAAGAGAATTAAGTGGTGAGCAAAAACGCGACCTCAGACAGGAGTCGAACCTGCATTTTATCCATACCGGGGACGCGTGCTATCACTGCACCCACCACTGGGGTACATTCGCACCACCGCCTCTATGCTGGCTATCAGCCACCAACCTTTAACAGGTCCGGTCGGGTGATCGATTTCGCCTTATAAACCCAGTTGAGCTGACAGCCATTGTGAGATGTTATACTTACAATTTCTAATGTTTTGACTGCAGTTCTCGCACAGTGCGATATTTCCAACATACCTAAGAGAACAGCGTAGTGAACAAGAACACCATGGGATGAAACGCCGGTTCGACTCCAGTCTGAGGTCATATTGTTGCTCACCACTCAATTCTCTTAGAAATAAAAACGTAATTACCTCACCAGAAAGATATCGACTACGTTGCCGATCATTCCAAAGATACACTGAAGTGTTTTTGAAGGAGAAAAGATGCCGCGAAGCAAAAGGCGCATGGAGTCGTTCAGGTAAATTCTACATTTTGAAAAAGAAATGTAAAATCTACCGTTTTTTGTTCTTTTTCCTTTGCGTGGTTTCTTCAAACAAAGTATTGAACCACTTCTGAGCTATCTTTGTCTCCATTATCTCATCTAAGATTGGCATTTGGGTGAAATTCAAGGATTTTGAAGCCCTTTGTAACGTCCAGTTTTCTAGATATATAGAACTACAAAATATGTGATTTGACTTGTGGTTCGCAGGTAAGAAAACTACTTCCAACACACTTTCTTGAGGAGTGGTTTACCTACTCAATAATCTACACGTACAAGTGTAATTATATTCCTTGTAACAGAAATCACTCCACTTAGCAGTAAGAACTAACACCAGAAGGTATATGCTCCAGTGGATGTTATAAAAGCAACAAAAAGGTCCAAAAAGTAAACCACTGAATTCTCCTGTCTGCGAGATAAAAGATCATATATTTGGCAGACGAACACAGATGCTTGGTCTTGGCCTTCAACGTTGTGCTTCCGGAGTAATTAACCCGTTGTTTCAACTTCGCAGTGAATTTTTTGGTACATAGAGGGTAGAAATCCAATTATAAAATAATCTTATCACTGCAAAGCCAGATCACTACTGGAGACACTTTTCTAGCGTATTTTTGACAAAAAAAATCTCGTACAAATTTTTACTTTCCAATACTATAGCTACATTCTTGGCAGTACACTACGTAATTCAACTCTTTTCTCGCAATTCTTTTGACCATGTTGTGAAAGTTTAGCACAAGAACATATTTTCTACACCTGGAATTTTTAAAAGAAACCTATACAAAACACTTAGTAAGTAATCAGAGTAAACCTCGATGAACTTCGCATCCATCAACTTGTTAAGTACTACAGAAATTTTGAATTTTCCTCATTCACAATATTCAAACATTTTACTGATGTCGCAGATCCCTTGCTCAATAATTTATTCAACGACTGACAACTTATACAGTCAGTCAGCATCGCCTAACCACAATTTACCATTATCTATACACTAAAACCGGTCAACAAATTACTCTTTTCTATAAAATTTGTAGTTCTTATTAGCAGTTAGATTATCGTAACACATTCAACAGTTAAAACATCATAAAGCAATTAACAGTTTGTACATCCCAATACAATCAGACGTATATTCAAACTACACTGTCTCATAGTCTAATACCTAAAGTGTTTACGATCGCTTTCCTTATGAGCAGAAAATTGAAAAAAATGCCTAAAAATGTGTTTTTAGAGTGCAAAATAATTATTTGATTATCTGATTACTTGAGATGTTTCTCATTCCACCCAGTACTCTTGGATGATTAGTTGACTATTTGTTCTTTTGCGGTAATTTATGAAGAAAAAATTAATGAGTGGCTTAAAAAAGTTAAATAGGATACAAAAATGAATTCGTAGGAATAAATAAGATAAAAACAAGCGCGAGCTCTTGTAGAAATGTCGTTCACGCAGGGATGTGATTGTACTGCTCGAAAATACGGAGTATTAGGAGACGTCGCCGTTGCTTCCACAACAATTGATCTTACTAAGGTCTCTTTAGTAGTACGTCATCTTTAACACGCTGAAAGAAGGTTTTGAAAGCAGTCGATGCCATAGATCAATTTTGTTCTACCAGCCGAGATTCATCGATTGAGAAGTGGTGATGGCACATTGTCATTGTACACTGTATCGTCACCATATACGCCTCCCACCTTGCCACTGTGCAGAGCTTAATGTGGGTCGTGGGTCACTGGCGACGAGGACGAGCCCTCCGAAACACGCGTGTATGGCCCTGAAGTACAAATCTCGCTTAGGCTTTTAACATTCTTTTTTTCAAATCATTTTGAATGTTTATTGTGATGTTTTAAAAACAGTCTATGCCATGAATCTCGACTGTGTCTGATTAGGCTAAGTATTAAGATTATGCTGGGACTAGAAGAATAAAGAAAAGCTTTTTTCAGGTTCACTGATTGGATAGCACTAAATAGGTGCCGCAATCGACACTATGATATCACGTTGTCCAGGAAGAATTCCTTGCCAAACGAAAATGTAGATGGAATGGCCATTGTTTTTTGCTAATGTGGACGAGAAGGTGGTACGTTGTACGTTTTTCATCCTAACTATTAGGTTATATTCCGATGCGATCCTTTGTGCTGCTGACGTCTTTGAGTCTTCCGCTGTGTCGTTACAATCCAGTATTTTTTCACAATTTGTGAAACTGAGGATGAGTTGCCAACGCAAAGTTCGCTTGACTTGTGACCTACTATCTATTGTGACAAAATACAAGACTATGATAAACTGATGATCAATTTATGCAAATTATAAAGGATTATGGACTTGTTGGAAAGACCATTAAGCAGTAGATAATCTATTCCGCCAGTTCCATAAATAATTTCGAAAACAAAAAAAAAACGATTTTCCTTTAAACCATTTTCGGGTTTTAGAGGTCTATTGCATTTTTCGCCTTTTCTGACTGGAATATAAGTCTTCAATTTACTGCTGTGCATCTGCGCCACCAAGTTCATTTGATGAGAGTAAAAAAGGTGCCGAACTTCTACGAGTAATTTACCAACCTCGCGTCAGTTAATCAAGATGTGTTTTCTCGATTTTCATATAACAAGTAAGTTTTTTGGTGCTATTATTTGATGCCGATTAGTTCTGAAGGTTTTCCCATAGACGTAATCATTACATCAAGGAAAGACGAGCAGTTGTCTAACATCTCGCTGCTTGTTTGATACGAAATGTAGATCAATGGAGTAACAACGCATATCCAACTTTTTTCGGATGCCTTCGGTCACCTTGTGATGGTCGGACTCGAAAACATATTTTCTACAGCGCACGAGTTCCTGGAAAAATTTAAATTTAGAAGTGGATGAGGTCAGTATTGCGGAATCTGTGCGTTGGTTCCGTTGTTACCCATGGATCTACGTTCTCTATCAGAAGGTAGTAATTTTTGATAGCTGAGCGCTTTTTTGTGCCATAATAATCGCGCCTGTGGAATAGCCCTCAATACTGATTAACACTGAGAGATAACACTAAAACAACCCCTGTGAAGCGTCATAGAAAGTGATCGAATCAGCAACCTTCTTCCCGAGGACCAATCATCATTAACCTCTCGGCACTACGCACTGCTTACCTGGCACGCGAGGCGGCGCTAACGCCATATCCCTGTCGTACTCGATGGACTGAAAAGAGACGTGAATTGGCTCGACGTGTCTTCCCATATCGTGTGATCACTAGTTCAATACTGTCGTTCGAGCGATCGGAGCCTGCAGTGGCACCTCCATCGGCACCTGGTGTCAAATTTGGGGAGGAAGATTGGAGCTCTATTTCATTACATTGATAATCGTCTACTAGTCATTCCATAGGTCATATATGCATTCAGTCGCTTCTATGTCGCTGGATGAAGTGGAATTGGTGACACAAAAAGTCGATCGTGACCAAACCCTTTTTGAGGTACGAAAGAGCGACGTACTGCGAAGTGTTGGATATCAGTGCTCAGATAATAGAACAGGTAGTCAAGGCAGGGACTACAATCTGTACGATCAATAGTAACAATGTCTGAGTCGAAAGGCTGATGGTCGAACTACGACATATCACAACATAAGCTTTCCGACAGCTATAGAGTTGTTCGGTACTAAATTTTCGTATGTGACTGTAACTTTTCTGTTCAAGAAGGAAGAGAAAGTCATTACAAAATTTTTAACCACTTTTAGAAGCCGTGGAAAATCTTTTACAAGACCCAAGAAGTTGACGTTTCAGAGGGGCGAATCGGTATTGTCGGGTGAGGGATTTACGTTAGCGACACACCAGACCAAAGTACTGGTAATATCTCGTAATTAATATCTAGGCCAACATGTCATGTGGTCTGTTATGGACTCTTGTACAGCCCGATACAAATGTTTGGGATTTCACAGCCTCGTCAGTCGGAGAGGCCCTTCGTTTCTAGCCAATCCTGCTCGAGGGTGCTCCATCATGTGGATTGGTATTACCCTTGGTACATATTGCTCAAAATTCATGCAATATTTGAACCGTTGAGCCGAAAAGTGGCCATGGCGCGCTGCTTCATTGAAAGCCACATGTATAGTAGATATCTTCATTGAAGTGTGCACGCGGTCGGAAGAACGAAAGGAAATATTGTGTATTTAAACAAATGTCAGGTATATTTGATAGATGACCTGCAGAACATTTTCATTGTGCAAATTCCTGCTTCCAACAATCGAATTGTCTCCTCGCGCTCATCGCTTGGTTAAGGATTTCGACTTCTTCATGAGCATCATAGAATATTGGTTGAGCAGACTTCTTGCATTCTTGTGAATAGCCAGGCTGTGGTGCTCTCTGAGATGCTTATCGATTAAACGCCTAGGAGTGTTGAGATTTGGAGTGGGGGTGTTTGTAATTATGTGATTTGGCATACTGTAATTCTTGTAATTTGTTGGTGCCGGCAAACGAACGTGCAGCTGGCCAATGTCCTTTGTATTTGCGTTCAAACAGCGAAATGAACTTGTCACTTTTTAGGCTATGTAATTTTTTCCCACGTGGTGTAAGCGGGAAATTCAATTTTGAAGCTTCATAATGAATGGCAACCTTTGTTGGATTCTAGTAGTGAC